TAAGAAGAAATTTTCTTTGTTATAGTTACAGCAACAATAGAAACAACATATCCTAGTACGAGTATAACTGTAACATGTACATCAATATCAACGTCAACAAATACTACATCAACTAGAACAGTCAGCACGTCATCGCAATTACAACTACTTCTCAAATTAATAATAAAATAAATTTTATTCATCTGTAAAAATTAATAAGATTAATTCGATTTACTTTAACAACAAGAACTACTATTCTAAGTATAAGTGAGTAAAATAATATATTTAACATTACCTATTTCTTAAATATTCTACTCGAAAAATAACTCGTAAAACTTCAACTATTGTTTTTTATTATAATACATTTATGGTTATATTAGTATGAATTTGTTTCTCAAATAATGTTCAAATAATTTTTGTTAACTATATTTCATATCCACATATAGATTTAATATTCATACTCCTAGATGATATAAATGTAATAACCAAGGAGTCAGTGGAATCGTTACTATTATGTTTATAGATTAACAAGTCTGACTGTATGTTCTTTATGATGTTTTATGATGTAATTATATTTACTCAAGAAATATATCTATAACATATATTGTCGTATACTTGTTTAGAAGAACATAACATTTTTATTTTTTCTTTCGATTTGTGGCAAATAAGTGTATATTATTGAAAGTGGGTAATGTCATTTCATTATCTTTTATAATTCTATTATAAAAATTTCTTTAAAATATTTCAGTAAGTTTTTCATCTTAAATAAGAATAGTAAAAAATAATAATTGTATTTTGAAATCTAATAAATGAGCTAACTTGTTTTCTATATTCAATGTTTTAAATAGAAGACAAAAAAAAATAATAGATTAATTTTAATTATATTTGTAGTTTTTCATCTTTTATAAATAAGTAATTATAACAGTGAATATAGATTGATTGTATGTATTCGTATACAATATATTTTATTCTTAATATTAAATCAAACAGTAATTATATAATATTAGTTTCGAAACAATATAGACGATTTGGTCATAAGCTAAAAAGTAGGTCAATTAATTTTGTATCGGACAAAATATTTCTCGTCTTTCAAAATAAATATTTGTTAAATACATCATGACATATGTTGAACAAATAGAACACCAACATTGTTCTATTCTTAAGAAGAACAACTTCATTAAATATATAAATAACTTTTCATTCAATATGAATAATTTTGAAATAAGAAAGAAATGTTAAAATTAATCTTTTAAATAAAAGAGAATTTAGATAAAAATTGTCTCAAGAAAAAAATATGAAATGATTATTTAGGTAAAATATAATTACTTTTAGTAATGTATAGTATTTGTATTTGTTTCTTCGTAGAGAATTATTTTATTCTTTTTTTATTATTGAAAAAATTCTTTTATTTATATTTGTTTTAAAGTAATTAACAAAAGGTTTGAAGTACGTGTGTAAATAAGGTATCGTATGGATTAAATGATTATTCTATTGTTGTGTTGTTTGATTATTAAACAATGTTTGCATTCATCAGGTTTTATTTTAAGTTCGATAAGAATATATTTTCATGGATTTTTGTCTTCAATAAATCAATGACTTTTTGTTTATCGCTCAATCAGGATCATGTTCAATTCTGCAAATATTGTTCAACATTTTTTCATTATGAAAAAAAATTTTTTCTGATAACAATATTCATAGATTTTATCGTTTCAATGAGATGTTGTTATATAATTTGGTTATATTATTCAAAGGTAAACAAAACAATGTTGCCGAATAGTTTACAAAACTTTAAATACCATATATAAAATTTTTACAAATTTTCAAGAATTTATTAATTTTTATGTAATACGTATCAAATCAAATATATGTGAATAAACAGATCGGATTTATAACACTTTTTCGTAACTAAGTTTGAATTTTCTTTTTTCATTGTGAAATTAATCAGATCATAGACTGAAAAGCATCGAGGACAAAAAAGAATACACACTTGTCTAACAAATTTTGAATCATCATAAAAAACGCGAGTAATATTTATCGAGATTTTGTGGTATAAGAACAGTGTTTTGAAATGTAATAATTTATTTAGAGTAGTACTAGATCTCTCTCACAATGGACTAAATCATTAAGTTTTAAGTAAATATAAGTAAAATTTGTTTTTTTTTCTTTCTCTAGTAAACGAAGTGAAATAGAGAAAAAAAAATTTATTCTATTTAAACAATGATGTCATCAAAGTAACACTAGTTGAATTTCAAAGGAGACGAGATCTAGTTTTTCAGCGAAATTCGGTTCCGAAGCAAACTATTTTCACTTGTGTTTTGTATTCTGTCTTTCCTATGTACATGAATAAGTCAAATATAGAGAAGCCGTTTGTATGAATTATGATGCTTTCTGGAAAAAAAAATCGTTTATTACATAGAGGATCCTATTTTCCATGTGATTCCTTTCTCGAATGCGTTTGATGTGATCACCACTATTTAAAACTCATTGAACAAGTTTGTATTTTTTTTTTCATCTTTGATGTTTTTAGTCTGGTTTTAGATGAATTTGACAATAAAGAAAAAACGCTAAAAGAGAAAGTTCTTCAATTCTTTAATTGCTTTTCAGTCAAAGCTATGTACATTATATGCTGTTTTTTAAATGAATGCTGTGGTTCTCCTCAGGAATATTACAAAAAACTAATTTTAGAGTATCAACTTGAAACTTCGCATAAAGACATGCCTTAGCGAAAATAGGTTTTTGTATACATTTTAGGTCTTGTTGTTGTTTCTATCTTAAGATACAGCTATGGTAATAGCGTGTATTTGGCATCACATATATTAACCAGCAGATTTAATCTTCTTATTTCAGAACAGAAGTCAAAAGACTTGAAATTTTTACAATAAACTACTGTTATTGAGGTCTACTTCAATACGAAGTTTCAAGTCGAAATTCGAAAATCAGTTTTTCCGGTGCTCCTGAGGGGAACTACGACATTTATTTAAAAAAACTTCATAAAATGACAGTATTTCCGTAACAATAAGCTAAGACCAAAAATTCTTTTGTTGGGATATTCATAGTTCATTTGGGTCTATATAATCCACATAGTCTAGTCAAAGGCGATTGAAGATATTAGTTTGACATTCTTATTAATTCTACGAATATTTCTTATAGTTTTTTTTTTGAATGAAAAACAGAAATTGATACAGTATAGAATATTTTATTTTTAAATGTATTAAATTTGATTATTATAATTAAAAAAAAAAATTATTGATTGATTTGTTCAATGAAAATCAATAATAGTAGACTGATGATTATTTTCGATAAACTATTCATATATTGAATAAAAATTGAAGTTGAACTATTTTTAGCACATGGACCACTATTATAACGACATTTAAATTGTCCTGTACAATATCGTTGTTGATCACCACATTTCAATTCAATTAATCGTCTTGTTGGTATCCATGTACCATTACAAACTGTATCAAAATCCATTCCTGGTAACCATCTCATAGATACTTGTGTTTGTTGTCCATTATTAATTGATATTGCTCTTCCATGTGCTGCTTCAATATTGAATTTATAATATATTGTAAAATCACCATTTTGAGATTGATTAAATCGATAGATAGATTTTTCTAAACATCTTAGAACAGTACATGCACAATTTTCAAAATCATATGAACCAGATAAATCTTGAATAGTTGCTTCACTAAAATGTCTTATTATGAAAATAAGAATAACGAAAAGAATATTCATTATATAATCAATAAAAACAATAGTTGAAACATGTACAAATGCAAATCCATAATGATCTTTTATAATAGAATAATAGTGATTGTTGTTGGCAAATATCAATGTGGGTTAAAAACAAAAGATTAATCATTTATTGATTTACGATTGAATTAGAAATAAAGGTGTAGCCTTTTTTTAAAGAATTTGTCAAGTTTTTTTTTTAAGATTTATGTAGACATATTCATTTTTTTATCCGTCATAAATTATTTTGTTTTTAGCGACACATTGGATGTTTTTTTGCTTGTTATTCCATGTAAATCTAAAGTACTTTTTACTATTCATTTGATTATAATTATAAATTAAATAGTTTGTATTAGGTAGAATATTGTTAAGCTATTTAAAAATCTTTGTTCTAGTGATTTATGAACCGATTTTTCTTCTTATTATTAATGTATTTGTATTGTTTTACATATAGAATAATATCTTCACTAGTCGTATAAGATAATTTTTGCAAGACGATGCAATAGATACCAAGAATATGACAACATATGCACTAGAAACAAGGACATTATAGTGGAATTTGCTTCTTTTCTTTTCCGTTTGTCTTGCTTATTCTTGTTCTTGGTGTTTATACATAAACAGAAGGCAATAATGATATGTGGATAACGAACGAACGAACGAACAAACTATGTCTTGCTAATTATAGAAACAAAAATCAATCTAGATAAGAATATCTAGAATATTAACAAATACAAAACTTAAAAATAAAATATCCTATTTGTTAATTTTATATCGTTTATTTTAATATTGATAATTGAAATGACGAAAAAAGGCTTCAATTTTGATCATAATCAAATTTTAATTGATATCATTAGATAAAACTAAAGATAAATTAGATAAAAGAAAAAAAAGAAATATTTTCATTATTTAAAATAAAAGAATATTTAATATAAAATAATTTTTCATTCGAATTATTTTGATAATTTACTTAAGTTGATTTATGATATAAATATATATGTATACATATATGATTGTCAACTAGTGACATCAATTGTATATAAAATAAAAAATAATAAAAAACAAAATATTATTCAAACAATAATTCTTATTGATTAAAATGAAAGAATAAAAATATGAATAATAATTAGTAATAAATAAATAGTCTAAACAAATTGACCTTGTTGATAATATTAGTAGTATGGCCGTAACTTGTTGTTTTGTTCTGATGTTGTTTATTTAGTCTTTTCTTGTTTATAGAAGATATATATATATATTTGTCCATCCAATGTGAATAATAAACTCGATTAATGTTAAGTGGAATAAATCCATTATCAGACGAAGTAAATCGTCAATCGAGTGCAATAGCTAAACGTCGTGAACAATTACGTCGTTGGGATGAATCAGAAACAAATCGAGAATCATCAAATGTTAAAATATCTCAACGTGTCAAATTTCAACAAGCATATGTTTTTTTAGCTGCATGTTCATCTTCAGATCGGGATGAAGTTGAAAAATTATTACAACGTGGTGTTGATATAAATACATCAAATATCGATGGACTTACAGCACTTCATCAAGCATGTATTGACAATAATTTGCTCATGGTTGAATATTTGCTCAATCGTTCTGCCGATATTAATTGTCAAGACAATGAAGGATGGACACCTTTACATGCTGCTGCATCCTGTGGAAATCTTGATATTGTCAAGTAAAATTTTTTAAAAATATATTTAAAAAATTAAAATTAAATTTCTAGATATTTATTATCTCGTGGTGCTATTGTTGATGTTTGTAATAATGAAGGTGAATTACCAATTGATATAGCTGAAGGTGATGATATAATTGCTTGTTTGGAAGAAGATATGAGAAGAAAAGGAATTGATGATGAACAAGCAAGAAATATTGAACATGCCTTAATGCTTAAACATGCACAAGATTGGTTAAATAATAATCAAAAATCAAATAATAAATCTTTAGCTGAAACAATTGTACATGCTAGAACTGGTGCTACTGCTTTACATGTTGCTTGTGCTAAAGGATATATAGATGTTATTGAGTATGTTATTTATATCACCGAATTTTTTTTTTGTTTTGTTTTATATTGAAATTATTTTTTTAGTATATTAATACGTGCTGGTGCAAATATTAATTCAGTTGATAATGATGGTTGGACACCATTACATGCAGCTGCACATTGGGATAAACATGATGTTATTAAATTTCTTCTTGAACGAAACGCCGATTTAAATGCAAAAAATTATGCAGTATTTATCAATCAATTCTCTTTTGTTTTGTTTTTTCTTATGGAAAATTTGAATTTAGGGTCAAACACCACTTGATGTTTGTGATGGTGTTACTCATGAATTATTAAAAGAATTGAAAGAAAAACAAGCTCCTATAAAAGTAAAATATTTCTAACGAATTTATTTTATTTCGAATATAAAATGAATTTTTTATTTTTAGACACAAGTTAATGAAACGCCAGATAATGTTCTTTTACCATGGAAGAGAAAGTATAATTTTTAAAATTAAATAAAAAAATTAAATATTCAAATAATTTATATTATATTTATTTAAGGCCTGTACCTTCTCGACCAACAGATGAACAAAAATCAATTCTTCGATCTGAATCACATAATGAGAATTTAGGTTTGTTTATTTATTTTATTTTTTTATATTAATTTAAATATCTCTTTTTAGAAACAACAAATAAATCTCCTCAGGTATTTATTTTAATAAAAAAATTAAAAATACAATGCATGTGCTTGTGATTGTTATTTAGCCTTGTTTACCCTCATCTCCCTTACCTTTATCAGTAAATCCTGCATCTGTTGATGAGAATTTATCCAATTGTTCACCTAGTATAAAGGTTTGATTTTCATTTTAACTTTATTAAATTAAAAAAACAAATTTATTTTTCTTTTATTTTTGTTAATTTAGGAAAAATTAAGTAATCTTCAACGATCATTACATGATTTAAGTAATCGATATTTAAAAACAAATCAAGATGAGGTAAGAATAATAGAACGAATTCATTTATAAAGGAAATATTGAATGTAAATGAATGCATATATTGTTTGTGCATGAAAGAAGCTTTATTTTATTTATTCTCTTAGCAATCAAATACATCAACAACAAGTAGTTCAACAAGTAATGATCTTAATAAATCAAATATATCTTCATATGATCAACGAACAAAACAAACTTATGATAAAACAGTATCGAATTTACCGACAACAACAAATCGACCAACATTTTTATCAACAAATAAATATTCATTATCAAATTCTCAAAGAACATTTACAAATCCGCTTCAATCATTAACAACAAATAATAATAATAATAATAATAATAATGATTTATCCAGTCGTGTAAGATATACAACACGAATTTTAGAAAAAAAATATATTTGAATGTTTTGCATGACAATTTAACAATGCATGTAGATAAACATCTTTAAATTAAAAAAAAATAAATTCAACTAATTTTATTTAAAAAAAATTCTTTTATTTAAATAGGAGAATTCAACAACTAATGTCACTTCATCTCCTACTCAATCATTGGATTCGAAAATTAATCGAAGGTAATTTTAAAATATTTTTTTTTTTGTTAAATTCATTTTAACATACAAAACTCATTCAATCGGTTTTATTTAATATATGAGTCAGTTTTGTTAGATCATGCTATTTTATTATTCTAGTTTTAGCGAGACACAGCCAGAGGTGCCACCGAGAAGGTATTCTTTTTTTCTTTTCTTTTTTGACTATTTCTTCTTTCGAAGCCTGTAACCAAATAACACTTTATATCTATCCAAATTTCTCACAATTAATACGCACAACCTAATCTTTTTTTTTATTGCACAGAATAGACCTATAGAGAATAAATTCATCTTGGGAAATACAAAAAAAAAAAAACAAAAAAGTTCTCTTTTAATGCATGCTGTTACCCACTGAAAATTTTTTCTTAGTTGTTTGTTTTTATTTCTAAATAAAATGAAATAATTTAGATGGGGTACAAATGATCGAACAGTGGGTGATAGTTCATCATTAACATCAAATAATACAGGTCCATATGTTCGTCGTCGATCAGGTGCTGGTGTTAATGAATCAACATCAGCAGCACCATCAACACTTGTTAGTGTAACAACATCTCTTCCATCAGTAACATCAACACCAACAACAAATGTAACAGTAACATCAACAGCACCAACAAATACACTTGATGATTCAACTGGTGGAAAACGCCGTTCAAATGTTCCACCAAGTCGTGATGAAGAAGCTGAAGCACAACGTAAACATCGTTCAGCTCAAGCACGACGAGAACGACGATCAACTCAAAGTGTTACTGTTGAAGATATAAAAGCAGCTGAACAACAAATAAAAAGTCAACCAATAATGTCGGAAATATCATCAGCATCATCATCATCAGGAACAATTCCACAACCAATAACAAATATTATTGAATCAACATCAAATGTACCTTTATCAAATAATAAAATAGGTGCACCATCAACACCATCATTAATTGCTGAACATGATATTGAAACTGAACGTTTACAACGGGTTATTGAAGAAAAAAAAGAAAAAGCAAGAAGAGCAAGTGGAGGAAATGAGGTAAAATAAAATTGTATATATATGTATATCTAACGTTGATCATTGATTTAGTTTGGTTTTTTTTTTGTTTTCTTTTCTCAGCATGATTTTTTTTTCTTCTTTTTGTTTATTTATACAATTGACTAAGATTACTAAAGGACATCCGCTTCCAATTATTAACCTCTAGGGATAAGAAAAAAAGATGAAAAAATGACGAATATACTTTTAAGCAGTTATAGAAATATATATATATAAAAGAAAATTTTCAACATTGAATCGTTTAGTCATGTTCGGTTTCGCTATCATAATTTTTTTATGTTCTCTTTCTTCTTTTTTTGCGACGATATCTTTTTTTTTTTCTTTTTTCATTACTCTACATTGTAGTCGATGAATCAGTGCGGAGTATATATATACATGTAATAATTTGGTATTCTTTATATGCGTGTGTCTATGTGGATTTTTTTCTTCTCGCTGTTCGCCTGTTCTATGTAACACACTCATTCTCCTTCTCTTAATATATATATATATATATATATACATATATACATATAAATATATTATTAATAGGATATTGTTGAGACGACTGTTGACGCATCTTCTTCATCTGCTGGATCACGTCGCGTACGATCGAGATTTACATCTGCTGACACTGACAGTAAGAAAAAACAAAAAAACTAGTCTATTAATCATCGGTTCTTTTTTTTTAATAGATATTGTCCCATCAATCACAGCTAACGATTCCTTGAATCTTGGTGTTAGTACTTCGTTAGATTCCCAACAACAACAACCACGACGACGAACTAATCGTGTACATAATCAACGGAAAAATACAGGAAGAATTATTTGGAACGACGTATGTTTGGCACGTTGTTGTTTTTTTTCTTTTTTTTATTGAGAAAAAATTTTATTTTGATTTTTAAAGGAAACCAAAGAAGTAGAAATTCGTGATGATTCAAATGATTTAGTTCCAAAAACATCATATCAACAAACATCTATTGAAGAATCTCATAGATCAGACGATCAAAAATTACAAGATAACGCTCAACAATCAACATCAAATACTACTACACTTGGTTCGCGTGGTCTTATATCCCGTTTTGAAAATATTCCATCATTATCATCATCATCATCATCAATAACTAAAGAATCATTAACAAATTTATCTCCAACATCACCATCATCATCTTCATCAACATCACGAACTAATCGTTCACAAAGTCAAGATCCAACAAGAAAATCTTTACCAACAGCAACTTCTTTGCCCGCCACAACAATAACAACAACAACAACAACAACAAACCCAAATACTGTTGTGAATGGTATGGCTTCGTCAACACCATTTGCATTAAAAAAAGATTCAAAAGAAAATACTGCTTTATCAACTGGAATATCAACAACAAGTAGCGATGCATTAGCAATAAAACGAGTATTTATTATTTTATAATTAGATTTTATGTTTATTTCTAATCGGTTTTTTTTTTGTTGTTGAATAGTTGTATGAGGATGCTAAACGTAAAGCTGATGAATTAACACAAAAAGTTGATCGATTAGAACGAGATATTGCTGAACGAGATCAAATGATTGAAAAGCTCGTATGTTATATTCTTATTTTATCTCTTTTTTTTTTAATTAATAAATTTCTTTTGTTTTTTTTTTCCTGTAGAAAACGTCACAATATATTGAATCATCACTTGATAAACGAGTAAGATACTATTATACACTACTCAAAATACTCGTGTGTTTTTTTAATTTTCGAATAATATCTTTGAGTCTATTAAGTCATTCGGTAGATCAAGGACATCTAATCAATATATATGTATCGATTGTTATATGTAACATATACAACATATGATAATCCATGTGATTCAAATCTGGCAAAAATTGTCGGTAGACTGTTTGTTCTGATGTGCCTTATATACTGATGGTAGTTTGATATTTAAATGGTCGATTATCCTCTGACTTCTATTCTACCGTGATATGCCGATAGTTGTTCTCTGAATGAAAATCTATTTGGAATGTACCATCAGTTCTTATGAGTAATGCACCAATGTTAGTGCGAAGATACGTGCAAGATGGAAAACTATTTGAATCGAAAAACAAAAAAAAGAACATCAAATGGTTCGGAAAATTGATTTATTATTTAGAAATTTATAATCCAACAAATTGTATTGAAAGAGATAGTTGACGAAGTATCTATTTAATCTAAAAAAAATTTTTAGTGAAAAAATTGATATGATTTGTTGAAAAGAATTTCTAATATATAGACACTCTAACTATAACAGAATTATAAATAAGTGGAAACAATCTATTCATATCTAAGAAGAACGAACTTTAAATTCGAATTGTATTCACAAAAGATTATTTATTGATAATGAAATATTGTTTGTTTATTTTTACTTTTTTTTTGTTTATTTAATAGGAAAAACGAGCATATGAACGAAAGATATCGGAATTAGAAGAAGAATTAAAAGTAATTGAGAACTAAAAATAGAAAAAAAAAAATATTTTAAATAATTGATAAATAAATTTGTTATTATATAATTATTTAGAAAATGGACTCAATCAAAGCAGACAATACACGTTTGAAAGAAGAAAATGCTGCATTGATTCGTGTCATCAGTAAACTTTCGAAATGAAAACAAAACAAATAAAAAACAAATTTTGTTTTTTTTTTCTTTTGTGTGCGTGTGCTCTAGAGTGCTTCTTTTTTTTTTCTCTCTTTCTCTCGTGTTGTTGTGCAATAGAGCCTTTCGTTTTTTTCTTCTGGTTTCTTTTTTTTGTATTACTCTAATGCTACTATATATATATATAACTTTAGTCACTTGGTGCTACGGATATTGAGACGCGCTGGCAAAACAGTGAGACAAAAAAAAAAAAAAAAAAAACAAAAAGAAAGAAAAAAAAATGTTTTGCATCGAAGTCTCGTTATATGTGTGAAAAAAAAATGAACTTTTGTTTATCTTCTTCTCATTTGAATAATAATAATAATATAACAGACATGTCATAGATTACAAATCTTATTATTCTACATTTTGAACTTCAGAATGTAAGGTCTTTTTTCTTTTCTTCTCATTATCTTTCTCGTGGATTTATATCATATCTTGTATGCCTTAGACACAAATTTGTGTGTGTGTGTGTGTTTGTGTGTCTTTCTCACATTTTTTTCTGCTCTCTCTCTCTCTCTCTCTCTCTCTCATGTATTTTATATCTCGCTTCTTTCTCTGTTTTTTTTGCAATCAAAAAATACAGCACACGCACACACATTTAATTATGAAGCCAAAGTACAATAAAAGAAATTTTCTCTTTTTGCAGAATATATTTAAAAAAAAAAGAAAAATAAAATAAATAAAATAGAAATGTCCGGTGAAGAGAATAATTCAGCCGATGAATCAATAACAAAACCGGTATGTTTTATATGTTTGTATATATATATATATCAATATTTGTTTATTCGTCTGTTGTTTAATTAATAGTTAATAGCAGAAACAAAAATATGTTCGATTTGTTTATTGAGTGGAAGGTAAAAAAAAAAAAAAATAAATTAAATTAAATCAAATCTATTTTAATAAAAAAATAAATTTATCGTTTTTTATAATATTTAGTACAGATGATAGTGATCCAATTGTTTATTGTGATCGTTGTGGAGTTATTGTTCATGAAAGTATGAAAATAAATATTTTTATTATTTCTTTTTTTTGTTTAATTAATTCAAAGAAATATTTAGGTTGTTATAATGCAGATACATTAGATGATAAATCATCAGATTCATCATCACCATCGGAATATTGGTTTTGTACACCTTGTTTAGCACGTGTTGATGATCCAGTAAGAAAAATTATTAGTACTTTTTTTTATTCATATTGAAATATCTTAGACATGTGCTTTGTGTCCAACAAAAGATCGTTGTCAGGCATTTTGGCCAACATTAGAATCAAGTTGGGTTCATGTTGTTTGTGCACTTGGTGTTCCAGGAGTTTTATTTTATGATGAACTTTATTATACACCTGTAGATTTATCAAATATTTCATCACAAAAATTTGGAAATAAGGTTTTTAACTATGAGTTGTTTTTATTTGTTTGATTGATGTTTGAATTTAATTTATTTTAGTCATGTCATATATGTGAATCACGATCAGGTATAGCTGTTTCATGTGATGCTGGTTTATGTCCAAATGCATTTCATTTATCATGTGCAAATAAAAATGGTTTATTACAAATTCGAGGAGAATTGGTTAGTTAATATATATTTATATATATTGATAGATAGAAGAAAATTTTCCGGAAACATAATTAAATTTCAATTTATTTGAAACAAATTTGACATGATGTTTTCAATAGAAACAATATTCTAGACAGAAAGAATGTTTGACAAGATGACATTTACCATACAACTATAACCAGATGTAGTTAATAAAAAAAAAAAAAAAATGAAAAGATACGTTTCTACTGATTCTTTTTTTCTTGCACAACCATTTTTTTTTATATATTTCAATGTTTTTACATGAAAAAGAATTTTTACAGAATCACAATGACATAGAAATTCTTTTCTAATCTCAAAGTGAAGTCTTTCGAGTTCGCCAAAAAAAAATTTTTTTTTGTTTGTAGAGTTAGTATGTAAATTAAAAAAATGATCTAGATTCTATCGATTATTAATCTAACATTTTAGTATATAATTATCTTAAAAGAAGGACAGAATATAATTCTTTTGTTTGTCTTTTGAATTTTTTTAGTCAAAAATCGAATGTGAATTATATTGTGTAACTCATCAATCATTATCAAATACATATAAAACCGTTCAAAGAAATTATACAATCTGTGAAGTACAACAAAAACAATTAGATCATAGAGATAAATTAAATGTTTGTTAGATTTTTCTATTCGAAATTATTCTTAATATATATATGTTGTTGTTTTTTTAACTTCAGGATGACATTACTCAAATATTAACTGATCATTGGTCTGTATATAAAAAACGTAGTGAATCATTTCCACGATTACCAAAACCTGCTAAAAGTCATGTTGCACGGTATAAAAATAAGATTTAATTAATAAAAATAAAGAAATTTTATTTTTTTTTTTGAAAAAAGATCATTAATGGTTGATCCAGTAGCATTGAAAAATTTTTTTGAAAAAGCTCAACGTCTCCGTCCTAATCAATCAGCAACAACATTACCAAATAATTTTGATCTTACATCAACAGATACAAATGCTCTTTTGGCATTTACGGCAAATGAAGAAGAACTTAGTCAGATTCGAGAACGTATTACTGAAGCAGAAAATAAACTTGCTCAATTAGAATCATCTTCAAGTGATAAACAATTAAAAGAAGAACATAAAAAAGTTCAATTTTATTAGTTTTTTTTTAAAGATTTTTTTTAAAAAGATTTTTGTTCTTTTTATTCATTTAGCTTGAAACTGAACTTAAAAAAGAATACGAAACATTAGCTTCTTTAACTGAACGATATAATGAATTTATTGAAATATTTAAACTTTATAATTGTCAATTAAAAGATGATACAACAAATCATTTATTAAATATTAAATTTCCACAATTATCTTCAACAATAACAACAACAGAAAATGATTGGTTTGTTCTTTAAAACATAGATATTTTCAGTAATAGAGACAGAAAAAACAAGAGAGACAAAGATTCGTATGTGGAGCTGAGTACTTCCTCTTCCCCCTAACTCAAAATTCTGTCTCTGCTACTAAATATTTTATTTATTGTTTTTATTAAATGATTAAATTTTAATTTAGTTGTTCAGTATGTAAACAAACTGATCGATCAAATCAAATGATAAAATGTTGTCAATGTCAATTAGCATTTCATGGTGATTGTTTAACACCAGCAATGCCTACAAAAACATTATCAGTTATGTTATCAGCTAGTAAAAAATATGATTGGTACGATTTTATATGTTAGATTTTTTTTTTTTTATTTTTTCTTAATTTAAATATTCTTTTTTAAAGGCAATGTGCTTCTTGTGTTAATGCACAACAAGAAGAACTTGATCAACGTAATGTTAATATTGATGAACCTCGTCAAGTACGACCAAGACGTACAAATGAACTTGTTTTACGTGAAACAGTTATTAAAGTAAATTAATAATAAAATAAAAAATTTTTTATTTATTTATTTATTTATTTATTTAGTTTGGTTCAAGAAAACGAAAACAAGATTCAAATTCCAACAATGATAATAATGAAGAAGAAAAATCAAATAATAAAAAAACAAAAACATCAACAGATGAATTGAATGTTAAATCAAAACAAACAAGTTCAACTATTGATTCATCATCATCAAAAGAAATAACAAATTCAAAACGAGATAATGAAAAATTAACGACGAGTAAAAGTCGAACATCAGTTATTAAACAATTATTTACTAGAAAAACAACTGATTTTACTCCAGAATCATTACCAAAACGAGCTTCTTCATCAGCAAGAAAAAGGTTTACACATTTTTTATTTTTTGAAAAATTTTTATTTATAAAATAGAGTACCATCATCAGTGTCTTTTATATTATTTAGTAAAATTTTAAGTTTATGACAAATTTTATTTTATCTCTCAATATTTATAGATGGTCATGCAGCGATAGTTAGTCTTTCAACATCAATTAGACATGCATAAAATTCGAACTATGACTTAGTGTTCAGAATGAAGGAATTGAATTCGGAAAGTATCCAACCAGTTTCGACAGTGTTTTATATTAATGTAATTGCCCAAGTGTCTCTTGATGTATATAGTAGTGTTTCGTAGAAAGAACTTTTCTCGATTTTCGTTCTCTTAATACTTTCAGAATACTTGTGACGATTTCATTTTTCGTATTTAAAGAAAAAACTATTCCTACTAGACACTATCTTCTGACAATATCACACTTCGTGCAACGTTACATGACTTTGAATCAAAAATAAAATTATTATTATTATTGAAGGTATATTTTAGTAAAATAAATTAATTTTTATTTATGCATTGAAATTTATCAACATTCAGTTAAGAAAATTATTTCAAGAGAAAAAATCAATAAAAATGGTATACTGAGAGAGATTATTTCAATCTTTGAGAAAGACTCGAAATCTATTTCTCAACAATGAAACATGAGATTAACTTCAACATTTTTTTTTCTTTGAAACAGGAATATTTGAAGAGTGAATACATAAAAAAAAAAAAAAAATGATTTTCTAAAACTTTCATTTTTTAAATATCGTTTCCGTTCCCATAGGACACTCGTATACAGACAATCATTAAAGTATCCTAAGATTTTGTTAAGTTCGAGCTCAAGTATTTCTGAATATTGTTAACATTTTGTTGGATTTCTGCCAACCTTTGACTTTTAGATCATTAATTTTATGGAAGGTATATCAATCGTAAGCAAGTCTGAAATTTATTCCTTTGACTTACTTCTGCTATCTTTTAATAAATTAACTTAAAAGATAACATTCAGGTTCAGTGAATGCCTAATGTCAATCTAATGATATTCGATTAAGAGAAAGTTTAATAAATATTCTTAGTCATATGTTAGTACATATCAATAAGGGGTTATTTAAAACTCCGATTGAATAATATTAGAAAATACTCTGTAAAAGATAAGAGTCTCTTTAAAATACAAATAAACAATTGTAATGAAATTCTTCTATCAGATGATCTTTTCCAATTCACATGTTCCTATTTTTGTTTGTATATATATAAATAAATTAACTAAATAAACAAACGTATATATTCCTAATGGAAAACGTTTGCTACAAAACTTAATGAATCATGAATTCTCACTGGACATAATATCAGAAGAAGAATAATTATTAAGAGTTGCGTTTTTTTTAATTTAAAAAATGTTTCGAATTGAAAATATTTTGTTTTATTGATTTTAGTTCTACTAATCAAAAGTCTCCTCGAATATCGATTAAAAAATCTCCAACAAAAAAATCTAATAGTAAATAAGAAAGAAAAACAAATGATTCTGTTTATTATTAATTTATATTAAATTAGTTTCACCAGTAACTCCAGCTCGATCAAAATCATTAATTATTGAACGTCGAACACCAGCAATTTTTAAACAAAAAGCTGTATCACTTCCAATAACAAAACCTGATAAGAAAAAACGTAAAACAATAAAAGATCCAATGTCAATATTTGATTTTGATGATGATGAAAATGCCAATGGTACTATTGAACTTCATTCATCAATAACAACGAATGAAAATGAAAATGAAAATGAAAATAAAAATGAAAAGAAAATAAAAAAACGAAAAAAAGAAAATGATAATCATAAAGAAAAACAAGATATTAAACCAAATCGAAAAAGTAAACGTTCAACATTAATTATTTCAAATAATGTTTCATCTGATGCTCGATGTAAAGAATGTTCAAATCAAGGAACAAATCAAACAATGACAGAGTATATTCATTTTATTTTTATATTTTATAATTTTATACTTTTTATATATAAATTATTTTTAGTTGTGATGAATGTAAAAATTATTATCATTTTGCTTGTTGTATTCCACCATTATCATCTTTTCCAAAACGACGTAATTATGGTTGGACATGTCATCGATGTAATGATGATAATGAACGTGAAACATCGAATGAGAATATAATTACATCTCCATTAAAGGTTAATCATTACTATTTTATATTCAATATTATATTAATTTAACTCTGTTTTTTTTGTTTGTTTTAGAGTTCACGACGAGAACGTCGAAGTCGTAATCCATACGGCGAAAAAGAATCTTCAACTTAATCTTTAAACTTCTAAATCCAAATGTCTGATTCTAAATATTGTCATGTCTTGTGTTTTTTTTTTTTGTATACTTACTTTATGTTATTATTGATTTTCCTTCAGAAAAACAAAATTCTCTTCAATTTCTTTTCAAGAAAAAAACAAAAAAAAAAACTTGTTAATTTAATAAAAACTCATTAGAATTATCATCTATTAATTTTTTCATTACATTAATGTTAATAAAACTCTTGATATTGATAAACAATGTCATGTATTAAGTTTACGTGAAATTTTTGTTTTTCTATTTATTCGTTGTCGTAAAATCGTTGTAAGGAAAATCAATTGATTTCAGTTTTGATAATTTTCATCAGAAATACTTTTCAGTGATTTTCCAATTTAAAGAAAATATCCTTAAGTTTTCTTTTTATGTTTAATATTGTTTGTACAAATTTCAATAAAATCAACTAATTTAAATATATCAAGCACACTCAAAAATATTTTTAAATCAACAAAATTCCATGATAATAAAGAGATTTGTAAATAATACTATCATCGTTGACATTCAACTTTCTATAGTGTCAACAACCATTCATTCATACCGAAACATAAATCTTAATGAAGTATCTTCATAAAGGTTCATCTTGTGTCAGTCTCATCTTTTCAAATGAGTACATCAAATTAATATAATATACATGAACACATATAGAACCTGATACACTATCCAATATCATGTCAGAATATAATTTTTTTGTTTGTTGATATGACATTTGAAATATAAAATGCTGCTGATGAAATTATCTTGAAAATGTTCAGTGAAAAAACTTTGAAAGAAAGTATTTCATAAGTTTTACTTCGGATTGCTATTGAATAGAGTATGATTGTTTATATGTGCTACGATTGTACTCAATCGATTCAATGTGATCATGTTAAGAAATTATTTTTCTTTAAACTTTTGTACAAAGTAACCTTTAGTCACTATAATGCATCAAGACTTATGTTTAATATAAATAGTTGTCGACATTCTAGACAATTGAATATTATTAATAAGAGTATTAATTAGCAAATTTTTAAATCATCAAATAACTTTATAAATTTTAAATGATTTCCAATGAACTTAACTGAGTTTAAGGATTTAAAGTAAAATATTGTTTGATATAAATTAGTTGTTTTTATTGAATTAAATGCAATCTTATCATATAGTTCGAACTAGACAAAAGCCATCTGTAAGCCGTCAATAAGTCGTTTAGTTTAGTGTGTTTTATACTAACGATTAACCTGCGGGCAGCTGAATACTAAAACGATTGTCCACCATCTGTCGGTAATCTACTGCTGTTATACTGTCGACTCTTATGAGTACCATGGTTTACCAGCGGTAATGCTAATAAACATGTGATATGAATTGTCACAGATAGATAAAATAATATGATAAATATTAGTAGATTTTTTTTTTTTCTTTAAATAATTACATAATCTTTACAAATACATAAGAATTTCTGTATCTACATTTTAATCTAAATTAGTTGAGAATAACATATTTCAAACCAGAATATAAACAAAAATGAAAAGAACTAAACACTCGAAATAATAGTATTAGCATGAATATGACGCCATGATTGACGTTTTTTTAATAAATTAATAATCATAATAACAGCAATCGATATAGGACATGTATCAATAAAAACAATTGAAAGAAATGTTGAACGTGTCAATTGATTTGATGATGGTGATGATAACCACCATAGACGATAAAAACCATGAATATGACCTTTTTTTTGAAAGAAATTCAATAAGAAAAATTAATAAAAATTCTTTTTTTTTTTAATCTTACCTAAAATAACAAAAATAATAAAAGTAATAACTAATAACATATGTATAACATTTATCCATTTTAATGAAATAATATTTTGTCGTTTTAAATGATCAATAAGTAGTGATAAAAGTAAAATAAGAGCCAAAAATGAATACCATATGTCCCATAAACAAATAAAAATTGATTTTAAACTGTTGTTTTCTTCATCAACAGATTGATTAAGACATGTAGAAATTGTTAAACAAATAAAGATAATAGAATAGATTATTTTAAGTAAAATAATCATATGACGAACATCTAAATATTGACAATAAATAATAACAAATTTAAAAAAAAAAAAATTTTACGAACTTTCTTTTGGTCGCCATCCATGTTGATGACGAGAAAAACGACGTCGAACACTTTTTGCCAAATTTAATCGTTTACTTTCAACTAAAAGTAAATATTGATTATTTAAATATAAAATAAAAAATTTACCGTGAACAAAATCCATCATAACAACGAAATATTTCAATTATCTATAGTCTACATATTATGATTAGACTACGATTACTTTTCTTCTTTCTTTTCTCTTTTTCGTTATACAACTAGAGATCAAAAGATTTGAATAGAGAATGAAAGACTCTTAACTTTATCGATCAATTGAGAGTAACCTTTGCAGAGAAGAAAAATCTATTGATATCCTGCTGTTAGACTTAAACATTAACAATTCTTATCGATTGCCTAATATATCAATTATATTTTCAAAACAAAAATCATTTCATCAATATATCATCAACTTTAATATTCACCAGTGTCAAACATTTTTTATTTTATATTAAAAAAAAATAATAATAAAAATCCTTTTGTTGTTATTGCTGATTTGTATATTCTATGTACATTAATACATATTTCATTTCCACAATTTGAATAAACTTCAATATTCTATAATGATATTTTACATATTTAGAATGTTGTATTTTATATAGTTATGCAAAAACTCAATTGTTTGGTATTTATTTCAATATAGAATCTCAAAGAATTCTTCTATATCTTTTTTTATATCATAGAATAAATGTAATTCGTTCGTTTAAAATCATACTCTATAGAAATAGTTTTTCAGTTTCGCTACCTTCAAAATGTTTGAAGTTCTTTGGAAAAATATTCAAAACTGGTTATAGAAATGAACAAAAACCGTTATTATGTGAAGAAAATTCTTGGAAATAATTTATAGTGCATAGTTTTCCTTTAATATTTCATTGTCTCAAACGATTTCAGATCTAATCGAGATGTTTTCTTGTGTTGATAGCTAAAAACAATAATATCATTCCATACTAAGATATATATCACATATGTATAGATGCGTATGTAGTCAGAAAAAGAAAATATTATTTACTGATTATACTTTTCCTTCATAAAGTAATGCAATAACTTTTATTTATCAAGATTTATAAAACTATTTCAAAGAGAAATAAATAAATAAATATTTCACTTCAAGACAATGCATCTTCAAAAACAATTTTCGTCAAATGGTATATCATTTATAGAAACTGTTGTTCCTTGCTTTTGACAAATGATTGACATAACATTGTAAATTCTATTTACGTTGTAGATATAAACGCCCTGGACAAAGTTTACGACCTTCATAAACAATCATATAAGATGTTGTAAATGATCGTGTCCGATCGTATGGGATTATATTTTCCAAAAACTAGGACAATATTTCGTCGTATTATTTAATTTCAGAATTACGACAGTTTCTCACCATATCGTGTATATGACAAAATGTGACGGGTATACCATCACTATGAACAACTGCCCACAGTTGTATACGATGTAGTATCTACCGTATTCACATTAGTTTCTTCCCATTCAAGAGAGAGATAGGCACACTTTCCCAGTCATCTATAAATACTCGAAATATCATTTATTTAATTAAAATAAATACATTATTGATCTGGTGAAAGAATATTAGCCGTATTTACCGGTAAATACAAGATCGATAATAAAGTCGTATGTAGAATAGAATTCAGCATCATTATGATATCTGAACGGCGTTTTATGGTGAGAATATGGTGTCGTATAGGGTAGGACGTGAGTGTAGATACACAAAAGGTCTTCACACAGACTCAAATCTACACCCTGCTCATAATAAAGTACAGTGGTCGATGAAAATGCACAAATAAAATGAAAACATAAAATGTTCATAATAATTATTTGTTTGAGTGCTGATTATTTATATTAAATTAGTCGAGAAGTATATCGGTTTTAAAACGAAGTGCCACTATCACTACGCATTTTAATCTAATATGATCTTCAAATAAATAAACCAACATAAGCCATATTAAATATGACATACAAATACAGTTCTTATCAGGAAGTAAAAGTGTTAAGTTACATTTACTTTCAATCAAATTTGTCCATACATTAAATTAATACAAATTTAAAATTGAAATAAGGAAAAATTCTGATAATTAAAAATTCGATTTAAATAAAAATTATGATTAGTTTATTGTTACATTCGAATTATGAAGCAAAATAGTTTAAATTCACAGGAAAATGACAACTCTATAAGCAAGCTTTCGTATACATTCATACATAAGATTGATAATATTTTCTTCATTTTTTATTTTATTCTCTATTTTCAAGTTGATTCATTAACACATTTGAGCTCGTACGTACGAATCGATAATATCTGATTGAAAAATAATATATAAATTCCTAAAAAAAGCATGTAAACATGCGATGCGAGAGTTATGATTATTCGTTACTTTCGCGTAAGGAAAACATAATTAGTTCTTTACCTCTCAAAGCGATTCTGAAAGCACCACTGGTTAAGTAACCAGGGAAATTCAGTATGAGTCTCTTTAATATATCAATGATACAGAGAGATCAATAAGTTTGTTCATAATATTTATTGGCAAGTACGTACAGTTGGATCAACAGTTGACTATATTCGTAGATACAAGTGTTACATGTTATTATTCAACATAGACACAAAATATTCCAGTCATTGGTTCTGATCATGATCTTGTCAGAAACGAGTTTCTTCTATCTATAATAACTATGAGGCTGAATCCTAACATAAATGTGAAATGGCATCAGTCGTTTTTGTTATGCCTCAGATGCCATGTTCTATAAAAAGAGGTTGCCTGATTCAGTTTTCTGCTTCGTCTTTTGGTAAATTTGGAAATTTTTCTAGATATATTATATGAAGACATTTAACTATTCATAAACTACGAACAAAGCCCTAATCCTTGAAGTATTAAAAATTTTAAAGATTACAGAGAATTCCTAATAATTTTCGAAGTTTTTCGATAATGTCGAATATGTTAACAGTGATGTTTCTATAAATTATCTTCAAGTTTCCTCGTTAGATCGGAGTGGTTCCGAAATTTACTTCATATTTCGCTTGTAATTGTGAAGGAGTTTTCCGCTTATTGAAGTATTCTCACATTCATTGTAGGGATAAGCTGCTCTAACTTTTGCTAAATATTTCGGAAACTTTTCATAAGTTTCAGGTTGTTGTTTTCAATCGATGATGGTGATGATGATCTAACGAAGAAAGTTTTCAGAGAAGCAAAAATTTATTTTTTTGAACGTCTGAACATGCTTCATTACAAATGGACAGCAATAGATTAATTTTGATGACTTATCAGGAACTGATTGAACTATACTTTCATTACATTTCCTACTTCATTAAGTTTGATCAACACTTTGCTGAAAAATCAATAGAAAATTCGGATATGTGATTTTAATTCGATAACTAATTTGAATCATTTAACAAATAAATTCATAGCTGTTGTCTACAGCGTCTGTTCGACTGAATTTCTAGATTCTGAAATACAGTAATATGCATCTAAAATGATTGAAATTGTTGAGCAAGTTAAGATGAACTCATTCATAACTTACAATTTCTAGGTGTACATGTAGCTTAAATTTAGATTGATCCAACCTTAACACTATCAGACAGTCTTTTGATAGAACGAAAAGAACAAAGCTGTAGGGAGTGAAGACGATTCGTAAGCAACTTATGATAAAAAGTTAGTATCATATTGGAAAATAGCTGAAACATGACAGAGAAAATAATAAGACCTAATTAAACTTGAATGAAGAAAAATATTTCGTAATGTACATTATATTATCGACCATTGAAAATTGCATCAAGTGCTAGTATTTTTATTTCTGGAATTGAATTATAACTTTTTTAGATTAATACAGAGATTACCATAAAATTATTATACGATAGAATAAATAGATCCTATTTATTTACAATTGGAAGACCAACAATCCAGATGTGAAGAAATTATGCCTACCACAGTATAACTGCTGTATTTCAAGAGATAAATCAGTTGAAAGTGTATATTAGATATCTGAACCATTTGACGGCATGTAATTAGTTTTTTACTGACGTCTTACACTTCTAACGAAAATATTTTACACTTTTAGTTTAAATGCAATCAATGTTTCAATTAGTTGCATGGGTTGTCAGCAGGTATCAATTATATAGATGTTGATGCTTCAATCACAAATTTAACCGATGAAAATGTTCGATCGACTATAACTTCAATTAAATTCTTCAACAACCTATTATTACTTGGAATAAACAAAAAAAAAATCTTACCTCCGTGTACAGTGAATTTAAACAAAGAGATCTTCATATGAAAAATTCAAAAGAGGTTGTTATGATGAACGACATCTATCATATCTGCACTACATTGTGTAAGAGACGCGTCTCTTTGCAAATAATACATTACTATGTGGCTTACTGTCAGCGGTCTATATTGATGTTTTAAAGAGAACTGGACACTTGCTCAGACATTTTAGCTGTAGTGTATAGGGTGTGAGTAAGTGCCGGTGAATGAGTATGCTCTTCACCCACATAATATTGTGCATCATTCGTTCAAAAATTAAGATATTATCTCTGCATAGGCCATCTATCCTAGATCTATTTTAAAAAGAAAACATCTTAGGAAAAAGAGAAAGGTATGAAACACCTGTACTGCTGAGTATGCGCCTCAACTTAGATTTTGCAGCAATTAATACTTTGTTTTGAATATCGTATAAGATGTTTAGGAATAGTGTTTCTAAATAACAAGTATAATGTAATTTCCGTTATGAGTTTCATCATGGATCTCACATACTCTTTCCTGTCTTATTTCTATTTTTAAGTTTTAGCTCTAGTTGAAATCTTTTATTGATTAAACTGGTATTTCTCGTATTATAATTTTATATAGATTTGGTGAAGATACAATTAATATTAGAAAAAAGTTAGGGCAAGAGGATACTTGAACGTCATTGATCAGGTTTTAAATCATAATGGGCAGCTCTCTTTGCTCCTGACGAACCATGATCATCGAAAGAGATTGCTCTTGAGTGTAGAGTTATGCATCGAGGTTCTTTCTCATTAAATGACTTTTTCGTTAAGAGCAATTCTAGTTTTGTTAAACCATTCTTAATTATCAGCCAAATATCTGTTAGAACCCATCTTATCGTGTTATTCATGGACTTAATATATTCTATATGATTATCATTGCCACCCAACCGAATATCAAACAACAAAAAAAAAACGAACCGAAAGATTGTGTCACAAAAAAACCGAACAATGAAAAAACGTCTTAGCAAAATGTAAAAGCAACAAATAAAAAAAGAAAAACCATTATCAAACTTTTGCAGCGTGAAAGTGTGATATTGGAAAACTTTTGCACAAATAGTAAGAGTCAAAAAAAAAACGAAATGCAAAACAATCAATTTTTATAGTAACACAATAAGAAATGATTTCGATGTGATCCAACAGTCAAAAACTATAACATACAAAAACATTCAATAAAGTGCATGAAGTCTGGATGTACGTGCATCGATACATTATCAAAGCAGTATAGTATGAAGCGTATACATGTAGATGCGCGAATATCGTGAAAAAATTGATTAATTATATCAAGAAAAATGTTAAGAACTTGATAGATGTATGAATAAAAATATTGTTAAACAATATGAAGATATTATTTCAATACGAACAAAAGTCACTAAACCTATTCATGAACAAGAAACTACTCGTAGTGATAATAATTTATCAACATCATCTATTAATACTCTCAAACAATAATTGAACTATATTCAACATAAATATTTTCAAAACCAATATGTGTCCATTACTGATAAGTAATAATTTAATTGACATTGGAGACTTATCAATAAATGCTAATTATCAATATTTCAGCAGTGTCCAAGTTCCCAGGAGTCGGGAACTCAATGGGAACTCAAAGGGTGTGAGTGTAGGTGTAGGTAAGGCCCTCAAGTGAAATTTTCTTTTTTGCGACAATTTTTTTTTCATGCAGAAATGGACTTTTTGAGAAAAAATAAATTTTTTGTAAAACATCCCAAAAAGTCTGTTTCTGCATAAAAAAAAGTTTTTTCAAAAATTGTACTTGAGGACCCTACCTACACCCACACCTTTTGAGTTCGCAATTTCCATTGAGTTCCCAACTCCTGGGAACTTGGCCAGGTCTCACATAGAAGTCGAGAAAATGATTTTACATTCACTTGGTAATTTTTTTCTATGAATATCACCCACATCAATCATTATCGAGATATGTCATTGAATAGTGGGCGACCTTTTGAAAAACTCTTAAATCATATCTGAAATTTTTCTCTATTTGAAGAAATAATAATTTATAAAATATGACTTCACATGGAGACATCTATTAATCACTGTCATGAATTATTTTCTTTATAACTTATTTCTACCAAGCTTAGTCGAAACCACCTTTGATCTGAGCTGAAACGGTCATTGTTAAATATGTGACAGAGTATATGTCGATAAAAAGAAGCTATTTAAATAACGTGATTTTACAATATGAGGTTTTTTTAGAAGTAGAAGACATTTATTTATCTAATAGACACTTAGATATTGAAAAAGCCTTCAAGTTTAATGTCAGCATTATTGGCTGATGTTGCAATCCAAACTGTATATTTTCCATGAGCAACAGTCCAATTTTGATTGACAGTATTCCAATATGAAACATCTCGTTGTGTTAATACCAGAGTAACTGTCTTCGATTCTCCTATTTCCAAATAAACTCGTTCAAAGCCACGTAAGATTTTAGGTGGTTCAGCTGCTTCTTCTGGAAAACCAAGATAGAGTTGTGGTACTTCAGAACCATCGACATTACCGATATTAGTAACAGTAAAAGTTATGGTATAAATAGGTTCATAGAAACTTAATAAAGCTTTGTTACTATAAGAAGATACACGACGTCGTCTGTATAATGATTGTCCAATGTGATTATCTTGACCAACTTTTGAAATCGTCAATGTTGAAAAAGTGAATGTTGTATAGGAGAGACCATAACCGAAATAATATCTTGGTGTAATATTATTTTTATCAAAATGTCGATAGTCCAAGAAGACACCTTCTGTATAATTAGAATTATATGTATCAGTAATATTAGTACCATAATCCAAATCATTCTTAGCTATGGTAAAGACTAGTTTACCTCCTGGATTGTAGTTACCAAAGAGGACATCAACAATGGCTGGTCCATATTCAGGACCCGGCAAGCCTGACCAAACAACAGCAGTGACATTAGGATTTTCGATCCATGCTTCGAGATTAAGTTGTGAAACACTATTAACAATAACAATAGTTGAGGCACAACGAGCAGCAATAGTATTAACTAGTTTGTCACCATTATGATAAGCAAAAAGATTATGTCTATCACGTCCTTCTGATGACCAAGCATTAATAAAAACAAGACATTTTCCTCCTGAAAATCCACTATTTTCCAATGACCGATTAATAGCAACATAATCATCTTGATCAACAACGTATTGAATTTGTAGATGAAAATCACGAGCTGTAGTAAGAAGTGTAGTGAGAGGATCAATGAAGTAAGTGGGACGAACATAACCTGAACCACCACCTTGATAGAGAGCACCATCTAATCCGTCTAGTCCATGTGGATCAACACCATCACTATAACGACTTGCTGCTGATCCATAAATAGAATAAAATTTGTTGGTATTCATATTAAATGGCAAAGTACTGTGTGTATTTTTAAGTAAGACTATGCCAGCGGTGCCAATGTATCGGTTAAGCACATAATGATCCCTAGTCACATCATTATTTAAATTGAGAGGTGGATAATTTTGATCTTGTCCAAGCAAAAAATAAGGTGCCAAAATACGGATTACCATGTCATTTATTCTTGCCTCTGTAATTGATCCATTTTTTACTGCTGGAAGAAGAGGATAACCCATTAATCCGTCTTGACCAGGCATTTCAATATCCAATCCACCCAAAGCAGATTCGACTCCAACTTTCGTTGCTCCCCAATCAGACATAACGTTACCTTGAAATTTTAGTTCATCTTTCAAAAGTTCATTTAAGATTTTATTGTTTTGACATGCCTGGGTCCCATTGACTTGGTTGTATGAGCACATGACGGAACCAGCCCCAGCTGCAACACTATCAGCAAATGGCCACAAATAAATTTCATGCATTGTTTTATCATCAAGATAAGCTGAATAACCTTGGCTTGGACCAATTTTAGGATGATAAGTACGATTAGATTCTTGTTCATTGCAAATATAATGTTTTGCAGTTGCTACTACACCTTGATCTTGAAGTCCTTGTACATAATAATAGGAATTTTCGCCAGAAAGATATGGATCAGCGCCAAATCCTTCCCAGTTACGACCATGAAGAGCATTTCGATCAATATTCATCATAGGTCCCAAAGCAAAATGAACTCCTTTTCCTCGAAATTCTTGACCAATGGCAGCAGCACGTTGATAGAAGAGATCACGATCCCAAGTCGCCGCAATCTGAATACCACCAATAAAAGCCGTAGAAAATTGAACACCATCACCAACACCCGATGGTGAATCTTGAAAACAAAGACCACCAAAGTTAAGATGTGAAACAGGTGAAACAAAGCCAGCACAATGACTCGAAACACCTGCAGTCATATTACATTTTTCTTCTAAAGTCATTTGTGCAGCAAAGTCTTTGGCGAGAGCAATAGCTTCGTCCCAAGTTCTAGTCGCAACATTGATGATCTTGTAAGATTGAGTTTGAATGCTGGCTGAATTAGTAAATGAAAAACAAGCGCCAAGAATGACGATGAAAACAGCTTTCTCGTACATTGTGTGAAGAATGTATGAGGATTTTATCAGTGGTAACCACATATATATGTCTGAGAAGACATACATAGAATAGAAAAGAAGGTGTTGGTTATCAGTAACGCATGAAATCTATTATCTTTCTATTTGCCCCAGCAAAATTTCATAGAGACCATGTAAAGTACATGTTCTTATGATAAAGTGAGTTGAAATAAATATCATCAACATTTGATATAACTATAGGAAAGATTTGTAAAATTAAGAAAACAAAAATTCAAACAATAATCATACATTTGTAACATTTTCAAAAATACTGTTACCAATGTTGCTTTAGTCATTCACGCTTTTTATATGAATATCTGAAGCAATATTGAGAGAAAACTTTTTGAGAAAAATTGAGAAATCAGTTTATACGATAGTTACATTTTAGTATGAGATTTGATATGAAAATTCGATGTATGGCTAAAACATATTATAAATATAATGCTCAGAAATAAATATACTTTTATATATTTAAATATGTAGAGATACAACAAGTTATATTCAATGCAATATTATCTGAAGACTTGTGCTATAGAACTAAATTATACAACATTTAATTACATAGTTAATCAGACATAGATAATTATGACATTTTCAAAAAGCAATTCAGACTACCTTTATGTTTGCTTTATGGACGAATCATATACTAAATGCGATTCTTCCTAAATAATTTGATATAGCTATCATTTTTAATTATTTTTTTACTATAATTAATGGAAACAATGTTTCACCATTTATCATCGTATATTAATTGTATAGGACGATTGATAAAAGATAAAATATAAATGAAAATAAACTTAAATAGTACAATTTTTTCTTATATATATTCATCATAAAATAGAGAACTAGCTCATGTTGAACAAGTACAATTGTAGATAATTCTTTATGACAAGATTATGTTCGTTAGTCATAAGTTGAAATATCCATGTCAACGTTAACTTTTAATTAAGCAGTGAATAATTTTCATATATATCATGAAAATGTTAATAAAAATATCGATATGAGTATGAAATAGATTTATTTGTCATTTATATTAATAATAATAGAACGATGTTTAAAATCAAAATTTTCATTCATCTATTAAGAAATATTCAAGATCAATATATATATATTGACAATGAAGTCATAAGAAAAATTCATTTCGATATAATTAAAAAAAATACATTATAATATATTCGACAAGTTGATATATTCAAATTAATTAGACATCAAGGCTTTCTTGTATTTCTCAACACGTTCTTCTTAAAATCAAATGTTTTTTTTTAAAGATTAAAACCAAATATTAAGATATTTAATATGAAAATTCCAGTTTTTTTTTCATATAAATGGCAGCAAATCCATCTGATCGTGATATTAATAAATAATTTTATTTATATTTATATTATCTCACCAGTGAATATATTAGAAAATTTTTCTTTATTTATCTAAGTAATTCGACAAGTAATGTAATAGCATGATTTTGTCTATACACACACTAGAATAAAATTTGATAATCGAATCGATATCATTCCTTTGTCGATAAATAATAAAATGTTTCTTTCTCTTACAAAAAGTCTTCTAAAATGATAAATTTTTGTAGATTTTGTTTTCTTTCAAAATTCGAGATAAATGAAACGAAGATACCAAGAATATTTAGTAGCTACTCTTTTCAAACAATTATTTTTATAAATGACAAGTGTAAATACAGTTTATTATAGATAACAAATAAGATTGATAATAAAATGATCAATCATTGGTATTCATTGAAAACATGTTGGTATCTGTAAATGAAATTCTCTTTATCATGGACTTCACCATGGCTATTTAACAGTTTATTTTTGACTTCGACCATTCAATTTATTAAAATATAACAACTTGTTCAATTTACGGCGACAAAAAGAAAAATCTTAATTCTACTAAAACGTAAATATCTTTTTGAAGAAAATCATTTCATATTAAATCATAGAAACAATTAATCATTAAACTCAAATGTCATTGACTTATGTTGCAGTTTAAAAAAAGAAGTCTCGAAATATTTGTTCCTTTTGGTGAGTTTCTGTAAGAAAATAGAACAAACGATTCAAGATTCGAAATAAAATGGTATCGATTCGATCATGACATTATACTTTTGCGTTTGAACGACTAGAACATGACTTTTCGTTTTTGAGATTATCACAATACGAAGTATGAGTTTTTTATGTGTACGTGTCTAGAAAGAAAGAATGGACAGGAGAAAAACGTTGAGAGAGACTGTATTAAATGGTATTGTTTCCTCTGTCTAAGTGGTTCGGATATTAAAAAAATATAGCGACAAGTTTCTAATTGTTAAAACATACATTATTTTCTTTGTTTTCATCAATTTTAACAATAACTTCAACGATACGTTACAATACATATAATTAAAAAAATATAAATAATAAAAAAATATGAATTTTTCCTTTGTTTTATTGGAAACTTCTAGACGACTAATTAATCATAGAACAATATATAGAGCGAGTACCAAAAGTTATTTAACAAGATTTGTTTTCAGTTTTTTGCTGTCATAAGCATTCCAAAAGAATTCAAATAGTTATTCGAGTAGAGAAAAAATTATTATCAGATTTCTAAAGATAGTGTTTTCAAACAATCCGAACCCTAGTTTTTCACTACCTATAACACGTATATATAGTTTTGTTTGGACTACATAGGATGATAGAGCAAACAATTTTCTTGAAAACGACATCTTTCTAAGTTCTCTACGATATGTTTTTATTATTTCGTAAATAAAAATCGATTTTTAGACTTTCGTTCAATTTGCTGTTTTTTAGTCAAAAACATCGTAGAAAACTCAATGATATCCCATTCTGTAGTGAATCGTTTGTTCTATCATTCTATCTATTCTAATAAAAGTTATATTTAGGTGTTAGAGGCACTGAAAATGAAGATATTTGTTTTTCTGAAGATCCTATCTTAAGAAATTCTATAATAGTTTCTCTTTTCTTATATTCTTGTTTTAAAAAAAATTTTGTCTATTCAAAATTCTTATGTGCATCCTTTCTAACGATGAAGTCATCGGACAATATTCGAAATAAATCTTATTGAATTATTTTGATAAACACTATGATCAAGTTTGTAAAAAAAAAGACTTTCTCTACATAATAGTGTTTTTATTATTAAACTCCGTTGCATATTGTTAGAAAAAAATCAAATTAGAAAATCGGACTATCGCTACAGAGGATAATCAAAATCTTATAATATGAAGTTAAATTTAATTCTACTATATTGTACCATTCGCTAGACAAAACGTGTTTTACCTTAGATATCTCGTTGTGTGTTAAAAAAAATTGTCATGGAATCTATAGTTGACCTGCATTTGTAAAATAAAGTTACGCATGGTTTTAAAAATTTACTTTGGCTAGATTTCAGGAAAGAGTGTCTACTCGATTTTTATCCATCGATAGCCTTCATCAATACGACATTGTATACAAACATTTAGTACCCAGACAGACAAGGTTCATAGAAAATCACGTTAACCATTTTCTAGACGTATGTTTTTACTCGTTTACATGGCACATTTGACGAGTTTAGCCGCATTTAAAGGCAGAAACGTGTATAAGCGTTGAAAGATCAATTAAGAGAACATTTTTGCGCATATTGTTTTGAATACATTCATTAACAACTCGTTATTTCCCGTTTTTTTAAAGCAATTTAATTTGTTAAAAAGGCTTTGTTTCTTGAGACTTTTAAAATTCAGGATCTTTAATTCGATAACTTATGCTTATATGGACACACCTTGTATGAAAACTATTATTTATAGACCACTCTGATCAGAGTTCGGACAACTACAAGTACACCAAGTAAAAGTATTTTACTTGTTTACGTTAACAAAAATGTACTTGTACTTTGAAAAAAAAAGCATTTTGTAAGGCTACTTTGTGAAAAATACTTGATACCTACTTATACAGGGTGAGTCATAATGATGAAAACAACTACATAGTATTTTGCAAATGTCTTAGCACAGCTAAATCGTATAATCTTCCTTTTTTTCAAAAGATGCGTAGCGAAATTCAACACAAGAATAGTATAGTAATAAGGAATTCTATTGAATTAGTTGGATGATTTTTTTTGTAAGACTAAAATTGAAATACTCTGTGATAATGAGACGGCCCATTATTCTTAGAGAAATAAAAATGAAAATAATGCTAAAAGAATAGTCTTGTTCTTATTTCAAATAAAACTTTTCATGGTATTATCCCAAGGGAAATGGAAGTTTCAGTAACGGAGTAATGGTAATGGAGTAACAGAAACTTTCCGAATTTATCAAAAGAAAAATCGTTCTTTGAAATCAACGATTCTTCAAAAAGCATGACAAACAGTGTTTGGGGTCGAGAAGCCCGAATTTATAGTCAGTTTCTCGAAATTTTACAAAATACTAAATGTTGCATTCATTATAACTCACCTTGTATAGATATCAAGTACTTTTTTCAAATAACAAGTACTAAGTTCTTTTTATTAAAATGTAAGTACAAATACTGTTGTCTGAGGTCTGTTTTTGATTCTTTATCCGAATGACAAATGGTGTTTTAACAATTATAAAAGAATAAGATATTTTTAAAGATGTGTTTGACTAGTTCTATTCCTTTATATATGCAACATTGTGTCAATATTCTATTATCTATTTGTTCTACTCGTTTAGAGATTATTTTTCTCAAAATTCAAATTCGATTCTAATCTACTTGTGATGTAGCAAAATCCTCTTTATATTTTTTTCTTTCGTATTTCAAAAACTTTGTGCGGTCATAGAAATTTTTAAGGTGTTTTTATCATTTGTATTTTATTATTTCTATATTATTATGAAATTTGTCATCAATTAAATATGAAGAGATACTTGTTATGTCACAAATACTTTTATTATTTTAAGAATTTTTTACTGATTTATTTGACAATCGACTTTCTAAGAACTATTGAAATTATTGTATTTTCGTTTCAGCATGATTAAGCATTGGAAGTTGCCAAGAATAAAT